CCGGTGCAACTTAGACTCACACTGTAAGAAATGAGAAGAGGATGAAACTTTAACAAAATGTCATTATGAAAAGAGCACTAGAAAACATTAATATACGCCGGGGACAAAGAATAAAATGAAACAAATGGAAACAATTTAACTTGTTCACAAAATGTTATGTTTTCAACGAGGAACTACCCTAGTAATGGAAGCATCATCGACAGAACATAGAGCGGATTTATCCATTGATGGACCTGCTCCTCCTACTTGTTCATCTCTATTCCGGAAGAAAAATCCAGGTGGTCTAGGTACGGGGAGAGCAATCGAGCTAGTAGTAAGCATTTGGACGATTGCTGACATTGTTGGACGATCTTCAACTTCTTCTTGAACACATAGTAAAGCGATATGGATGCATCTGCTAATTTCATCTGTTTGATAATTCTCTTCAAAGGATGGATCCACGAGCTTTAATGGCGACCCATTGCTCCATAGTCTCCAAGTCTATTGAACATTTTCATTATTAAAACTTTGGTCACTGTTAAATGAAGCAAAAAATGGAAAAATTTACCAAGTTTATTGTTAAGAATGTATACTCACATATGTAACCAAGTTGCTAGCACTACCGTCCATTTGATAGAGACTGCTGTTCCTTTTTCCGCTTATAATTTCAAGAACTAAAACCCCAAAACTATAAACATCTGATTTCATGGAGAATTGGCCGTACATCGCATACTCAGGAGACATGTAACCACTGAAACAATACTTAAATGATTGAGTTCGTATGGTTAAATACTTATATTGCATCTCCATAAAATAAATAGAAAGGGAAAAAACTTACTAGGTTCCAACTACTCTTCTTGTCTTGGCTTCTGTTTGGTCCATTCCAAAAATCCTCGCCATTCCAAAATCTGCAATTTTTGGGTTCATATCATCGTCCAAGAGGATGTTACCTGCTTTGAGATCACGATGTATGATTGTGAGTCGTGAGTCTTGGTGAAGATATAGAATCCCTCGAGCAATTCCTCCAATGATCTTGTATCGCCTTGTCCAGTCCAATTCGCTCCGCATCATAGAATCTGCGCATGCATATTTACAATGTTGAAAACAAAAGATGGCATGAAATTTAAGAATGAAGGAATTGGTAAAAGTTTGGTTAAAAAGGTTTAGTATTTTGGAAAGTAACCCATATATCTCTTCTATGTTAGGCTAAGGACTGAATTTGACTGACCAAAAGAAAAAAAGAAAAAATTGACTGACCGAAAAGGAAGTAATCGAGGCTTTTGTTGGGCACATACTCATAGACAAGTATTTTCTCGTTGCCTTCCATACAAAATCCGAGAAGCTTGACCAAATTTTTGTGTTGAAGCTTTGCAACGACAACAACTTCGTTTTCGAACTCTTTTTCGCCTTGTCCTGATGTCGTCGATAACCTCTTTACGGCAACTTGTACTCCACTAGGAAATGTACCCTACAAAAATATTTTTATTTTGCCAAAAGGATCATTAGTCACGAATTGGCCTAGCTTCATGATCAATTATGAAGTGAAAATAACTCAAATCCAATTTTGTTGAAATATTATTTGTTACAAATTAAGGAAGATAATGACCATAACTTGCTACATTCTGAAGCTCTGTACAAAAGGTAAATAGTAGAATTTTGTGTGTGCCGGTATTGTAATGATAGAAAGATTATCCACTGTTACAAGTGTTTTGCACCTAATCCCATACACAGCTCAATGCTATAGTAAGTGTGTGGCATATGGTTCAAGAACAGGGGAAAAACAGAGTATGAAGAACGATTTACATGATTTGTATAGTGGGGAAACAAATTAGAGTATTTTAGTCTTCAATCGAAAAAAATCATGTAAATTCTATCTAACACCTCACCAAAGTCTTACACAATATAGAGCATTTTCATAGTTAAAAATCCTTTAGTGTTTCATCTAATACTTGTAGATAATCATCTATGAAGGAAGCATTACGCAATGGCTTAATATACCTTGTAGACTTGGCCAAATCCCCCTTGACCGAGTTTGTTACTTTCCGAAAATTTATCCGTTGCTGCCTCAATCGCTTTAAAATCAAACTGAAGTGAGCCTACCGAAGTAATATCATCCCTATCTGTAAAAGCAAGTTAGACATCTGATTTATTATAAGAGCACATCAGAATATTCTACCTGATTTATGATTGGTGTCTTTACCTGTAGCAAGTAGTTCCCTCTCATACATTTTTTTCCTTTTCTTAGCCCGGAGTTTATAAACAAGTACAAATAGAAGAAAAAGCGCGGCGATTGGAACAAGAACAGCAACAATTATGACAGAGGAGTTTCGGCCTTTTCCTGCATTGACATAATATCAGAAAAGCCTTGTCTTTATCATGTAAACAAAGCAAAAAGTGAACGTTCATCAAACCAGGTCGTGGTAGAGTTGTGCTAGTTTCGTTGTAGAACGGGAAAACCTCGTATCTTGAACTACAACTCGGCATAAGAAGTCTTCCTCCAATCTGTTCGGTAGGTAATCGATTGATGGCGGTTTGCAGACAAGTGGAACAGTCTTCTCTTGACAGATCAGGAGTGCATTGAACCAGTCCATAAATTGTTAAAGACGAATTGAAGTTGGATTTGTTAACCGCAAACCTTGTTGGACTATTAACAGCCTCGGCTGCATTATTGTTCATCAGAGAGAACACTGAATCACGGAACCGAACTGATTGTCCTTGAGGAATCTTCTGAGTGTTCCACGAGAGTATTCCATTTGTTCCATTTCTAAATGAAGAATCCATGAAAATATTCCGGTCTGCGTAACGAATCATACACTCTTCGTACCATATCATGCCCGATTTTCGTTGTGGACATCGATTCAGAGTGTCGTTGGTAGCAAAGCCAACGCAGTAACGACAAAACTCCGGAGAGATATCTCCGCGGCATAGGAACAGACCGTATACCACGTCAGGGCTCTGACCTGCGGCTGTGGTATAGAATCTGTTGGAGAAAAAGGGATTGGGTGTGGAAGAAAGAGAAGACAAAAGGGTCTTAAGATTAGAGGAGTATGTGCTGTTTTCGGTGTATGTTGTCGAGTTAAGACAGACGTGGTTTAAGTAAATAGGGTTTTGGTTCTGTGCAGAAGAAGATCTTAAGCTTGCAAGGAAGACAAGAAGCAATAGAGAACATAAAGAAGCATAACAAGACA